AGTGTCAGCCGTGGATCCAGGAGGACACCCAAGTTGCGTGCCCTCTCTGAGGGGGCCAGAGTCTCGCCCCCTATAGTCAGCGATGGAGTCAGCTGACTATGCCGGGGCGCCGGCAACCACAGCCACTCGGTCTTGGAAGGGTTGAGTCTGAGTCTGTTCCTCCCCATCCAGACCCGTACGGCCTCCAGGCAACGGGTAAAGATAGCAAAAAGCATTACAACAAATATTTTCAATGCAATGTAATGTAATGCAATGCAATGTAATGCAAAAAGCATTACAACAAATATTTTCACAATGGCCGATTCAGAACTATTGTTTGATAAAATTATTAATTTTTTTATTTTATTTATGTATTTATGTACAGTATTTATGTATTTATGTATTTATTTATGTATGTATGCATTTATTTATTTATTTATTTGAATGAATGAACGAACGAATGAATAAAATTATTAAATCCTTGAGGTAACCAGTTTTAACCAATTCCCTGTATCAAAAGAAAAGCAATTGCTCTGACCTGGCTTTTATTTTTTTTAACAATAAAAGTCTGTATTTTATACAATGTAATTTATCTCTGCCACAAGGTGGATTGCAATGCACAAAGATGTCTTAGAAATGATCTTTTGTGCCATAATAAAGATTTCCATGTCTTCCACCAAGACTGTCAACCCATTTGACTTGCGATACTCTTTATACGGTATGTATCTTCTACTTAATTCCCATTAGCATAACATTCCATTGGTTGGAAATTACAGATTTCCATTTCTTTTGCCTATATATGAATTTAGAATTTTATACAGATTTTAGGCATAAACCAATCATAGTATGTGATAGAAATTGATTCCAGCAGTGACTCTACATATCACTGCTATATAATAAAATTACATCATGTCAAATATGTCATGTCACCCCCAAACCAACAGCATCAGCATGGGCCCCAACAAGTACACTCATAAGCTAGGCACTTTCAAATTTTTTCCTCCAATGTGAAATATGTCATTATCAACTAGCAATATCCCACACTAGAGATTCTACACGGAAGAAATACGACAAACTTTTCACAAAAGAATTAATAACACGTTTGACATCAGGAGTCAAAACAAGGACAAAGTCATATCAGAGTATTTCAATTTTCCTCAATACTCCATAGCAGAAAAAAATCAGAAAACTATTGTGAGAAACTGTTGCACTTACATACATCAAAATGTTTCAGGCAATCTCAGATCTCAACAAGCAGTAGGTACATAATCAGTGGATTTCTTTCTTTCAGTGAGTTTTACTTGCTTTTAGACCCAAATAAATTATTACTTCAGTTCCATAATATTTCTCTTTGAGACACAGCAAGCCACTGTACTAAGCAAAAAGCTGTGGTGCCTAAAGCCGAGGCACATGTAATCTGAAGTAATCCCAGAATAGCTGATTTACACAGTAACAAAAATATGAAGTGGAATTAGGTTTTAATCTGGCAAGCACTGTTATTTGTTTCTGACACAGTTAATGAATTTTAAGATATTTATTGTAACTTGCTTATTTATTTGATTTTACTGTTAGCTACCATGAACATCCTTTTAATAGGTCAGATATAAATACATGGATTTTAGGTATTGCCAAAAAGTGATGAGGAACTCTATGTAGCTGAATGAGTAACTGGCAAAGGTGGAACAAGGCATTCAATCTATTCCTAAGCTAAAAGAAAAACGAACATTTGTCCCACATAACTATTATAATGGCCTGGTGGAAAAAGGACTAATTACTCCAACCCTTCTCTACAAACTACTAAGTAAAAAAGCAAACAAAAAAAAGTCTGACCTTTACTCAGTTACAAGACATTTGCATACTGTCCTTTGAAGATAAATTTCCCTGCCTCTGTAGTAACAAGGACATGCTTAGCAGACTAGTATTTTTGTGTACTTTGCTATGGAATTTGTCACTAATCATTGCTGTAGGGTTAGATATAAATTGATCATTCTTTTCAAATTAATATTCCATATTCTTTCATTTTGAAAACTGTTGTTTTCATTAGGAATAAGCCCAAAACAAGATTGCTTGTTTAGCACTACAGCCAAATGGTGGAGGCTCTCTGGCTTATTAAGCTGTTCCATTAACAGTAAAAGCAATTAAACCCTAACAAATTTGGCTTATTAGTATGACATCCAACCAGATCACTCTGTGAAACAAAGAGAAGAGAGGTACAGCATGTGATAAAATAATTAAAAATCTTATTGCCAGTTTCTTTTTCAGGTCTTGCATGAAATTAGTTCTTTTCCATAATATTGGTTCTTTAATATAAGTACATAAAAATTTCAAAGTTCATCAGCTAAATACATTTTTTTAAGATCTGTATTTCTACCTTTTTAAAGATCTGTATTTCTACCTTTTATTTCCATAAAATGACAATTGTTGTTACTATTACTAGGGAAAATATATTCACATTACTGTGAACCTTTTTCTTCCCAGTATCTCAAGATCAGGAAGGCTAGATCTGAGTGGCAGAACAAAAACTTTGAAACAGAAGAATCCAGATTGATCCCCAAGCATGGACAGACAATCATTAATAATGTCCATAATATTGCATCAGGAGTAATGTGATCTAGTAAAAGACACGACCTTATTTACTCATGTTCTTAAAAAAAATCACTGGAAAAGCACAATGGATTTATAAATAGAATATGATACATTTGGAATCTTCCCAAATAAAATTCTGTGAATTAGATTAAATGATTGCCAGCTTGAAGCATCAAATATTGTTACCAACTGATATTATACTGCACTGTTTAAGGAAGTTTTTCTTCCTATTGTCATTCAGATAGGCAGTTAACTTTATTAGGGAATCACTGCAGTATACTGCACTGTAAAGTATACAACGTACAGTGTAGTATACTACAGTGATTCCCTAATAAAGTTAACTGCTTATCTGAATGACAACAGGAAGAAAAACTTCCTTAAACTGAATTTACGCAAAAGATTTTGTACTATAGAGCAATGGAAGTCTTATAAATTCCAATGAAGCACTCTGCAGAATTACTATACTTGGACTTGAATTTACTATTTCTGCCAACAGAAATTAATTTGTAGATACACAATTCTTCAAAGAGTCTTTCAGCAGTTTTTGTAGAAATAAAACCAAGTTAATCTACGTTTTAACTTGATTTTATCTCATACTGTAAACTGCCTAGAGACTTCAACAATCCACAGTATACAAATCCAAGTAAATGAATGAATACGTCTGACAGAATAATCAAATTAGCTAGTGGGGATCTGACTAAGACATATGATTTTCATAATACAGAATCACTACAGTGTATTAAAATGTACAGAACGTTGCTCACATGTATACCAGAAAAGCAACTACCTTTATAGAACTAAAAAACAAAAATGTATTTCAAATTGATTTGTGAAGACTGCAAGCCATTTTAAGAAGGGTTGAAGGATGAAGATGGTAAAGCTTAAAAAAACAACAGTCTACAATTGATTATGGAGGAATTTCAGAAATAGGGTTGGAAACAATCCAAGCAATAATTCAAACTGCCTGTTCTCCTCTGTGTATTCAAAACAAAAACTGCAAAACAATTGTTGAAGGAAAAGTCTTCATCCTGGTTCATCCAAGCCGGGGATAAATAAACAACATGGTGACTGCTTTAGAAAGAAGGTTGCAGTTTATTGAAGAGCCAGACATAAAGCAGAGAGGAGACAAAAAAGAAAAAGGGCTGAGTACATGTGGAGTAGGTTTTTATACCCTCTGAAAGCCTTTTGTTTGGAAGTTTCCTATTCCTGTGGCATGAACTTTGAAGCTATTTCCTGTGTCACGTATTCTGACCTGAGTTTAGGTGTGCCTCTCTGGTATTCTTGATGGTGATGGGTTAGTCCTATTAAGTCCCATCTCAGGTGAGGTATGCAGATTTTAGGTCTTTGTCTTCTTGATCTCCTAGCTGGGGCCTTTCTGATGGTTTTCATCTGCATTTGTACAGAGCTGTCTTCTGCTTGAGACAGACAGATTTGGGGGCAGGGTTGGCTTCTGCTTTTAAAATCCTTTTTGAGGAAATATATTTTTCTGTCCTTTTAATATTTCCTTCTCTGGGGAGCTGACTTCCCTTACAATTTAAGTACACTTTTAATGTTATACCTTGCAATGACCTCCATTCTGTACTGTTGATAAAGAAGAATCTGCAATATATGTTGATTCTTTCTCTCAACTGCCTCATTTATATAGTAACCCTGGTAACAACAGCTCTATTGAAGGGGCGTTGTCTTACCTGAATGCCTTTTCTCAGCACGGAGATGGAGAATCCACCAATGGGATTTCTCTGTCTGCCTGCTCTTGAGACCAAGTAGCCAAACTTGACACGCCCCCTGTTGCTAGGAGATCCAGTCTTGACGAGGGCGAAAGTGGCTGATACTAGGACGACATGTTGGCTCTCTAACCCCTAATACCAGCCTAACTGACCTTAAGGGTGGGTGTGGATTCTCCATCTCCGTGCTGAGAAAAGGCATTCAGGTAAGACAACGCTCCTTCTCCAGCACAGGAGATGGAGAATCTACCAATGGGACATACCAAAGCCTCACTGTCCCAGTGGGTGGGAAAC